ACGTCGCGGCCCTCCCGGGATTGGTGGAAGGATCGTGGGGGAGCGGCAGCTCAGGACGGAATACGGCAGTGACCGCCCCGGTCGCGAGGGTGACCCTGCCCCGGGTTGCTGTGGGGGCGCAAGAACCCTTTCACTTTACGGCGAGATTAAGCTCAGGGTCAAGTTCTGAGCAAAAAGTGTCAAGGAGCCTTTTTGCAGCCTCCTGTACTATTGAAACAGATTCTGTGCCCTTTAAAGGAGATAATAACTAACATCTGGGGAGGGCTTTACAATTTAGAAAAGGCCTTTCACACACAGGCCTGTTTTATCTTCACAACAATCTTATAAAATAGATATATTGTTCCCATTTCCCAAATAATGAAACCGAAGCGCTGAAAAGTAAGTATTGTGCTCGGTGTCACAAGCTACTAAGTGGCATGGAAAACCAGGTCTCCTGAATCTAGCCTCCGGGTTTCTGCCCTCCACCAGCCCAACCTCAGAAAATTCTAATAGGTTCAGGGGGCTTTGGCAAATAGACCGTTGGGAAGAAGGGGAAACTTCAGGTCTAGTTAAGTCGCTGCCCGATTCCTGTTCCTGTTGTGAACATACCAAGGAAAGCAACAGGCTGTCTTCATTGTGTGGTTGCACCTTCCTTCCTGAAAGGGACGCAGAAAGATTACATCAAATGGCCCAGATGAGATTTCACCTCCAATATTTTATAGTTTAAAACGGGTGAAATTATTTGGATGAAGAAAAGCACCTTACTTAAATTCAGTATGATGTGTAATGTAAATTGGTATAATGTATGAAAATAAGCCCCTCCCTGCCTTCTGTGCTTTCCTTTTTAATTTTGTCTCTACTGCTCTGCTCCTCAACTCTTTTATTGTCCACATAATTGAAAACCTAATTGATGGATATTTGCAATTCCAAATTAAACCTTTGGCTACTTGACTTAATTTTCCGTGGATTGTTTTCCAAAATATAACTCTTCACTCTACTCCATATCCTCCTATCGGGAGATTGGTTTACCTAGACAGATAAAATAATTAAGGTGTCCCTGATGAAACCTGGTGGTGTATCTATATAGGATGAAAGTTTTGGTCATCCCTGAGCAGGATGGGACAGGAGTCACCTCTTACAAAGTGTTTGTGTGCCTTTTAAAGGTTTCTAACAGAGACTGATCTCTAATCAGTAACAAATATTTTAACGTTTTTGCTATATAATGAATACATTTCATTGTGAAACATGTATAAGCATGGTAATATATTATAATCTGAAAACTTTTACCGCTTCTATCTAAAATGTTTTCCTTTTTTGTGTTCTTTTTGTACCATCCCATAGTATCTCCTATAGGGCTCTTCAAACTGTGGTCAACTTAGTAAATGATGTTGACAGTGGAAGTGTGATAATTTTATTTTCCTGCCTTTGGAATTGAAGAATGTAATTTTGCAAAAATTTTGTTGAAGATGATGTAACTTTGGTTCAGAGAGTAGCTCATTCCATTTACATCAATATTCTTAAGGCAGTGGGCTAGGTGACAAGCCATATTGATGACAAAGACAGAGCTCTTATTTTCATGACATTCCAGTGTGGTGGCAGAAACAAGCAAGTAAATAAATAATTCCAATACACATTTCTATTGATTTATTTCCTGAATGGTGACTGGCTATTTAAAAAGACTAAATCAAATTAATTTTCTCATAATGAATAAAAAAGGATAGTCATGCCAGTGAGTTGTTATTATTTTTTAAAATGCCTGTCTCTCTTCTGGGTCACTTTATAAAAATAGTCAATAAGAAGGCTATTTTAAAAAGTGATTATATCTACTTTAAAAATTTTTTTGTATCTACTTTTTAAATTTCAGACATAAACAAAAGGAGAGTAATTATGTAATGGAGTTGCACATATTTAGCTTTGTTAGCTACACTTTCCTCCATCATCTTCCTAACAGGAATTCTTAAATTACATTTTTAGCACACTCAGTGAAATTCCAGCACTTTCTTAATTTTGACAACCTAGTATCATACATTTCAGATGATATTTCTAATAAGGTGAAGCATGTTTCTGACATCGGTGCTTTTTTTTTTTTTAAACAGAACCCCCTACCCCCGAAAAAAATCTCCCTTTTAAATATGATGATGGGACTTTTTAGCTGCTGCTTCATATAAGGACTCCTAGGATATTACCTGACAATTTTCAGCCATGGTTTCACTTAAAATTTAAAAACAAATTAGTAAAACCCCTGGGACTCATAGAAGCTCACAGGATGTATTCTCAGAGCACCTAAATAGCCCATGAGGAGGGAAAACAACATTAAGATAGAGGCAGGTGAGGAATGTACCCAGCCTCACAACATGGACATCTGTTTGGTCAAGCTGACGTACTTCTAAACTCTGCAGTTGTGCAAGATCCAAGCGTTTTAAGCCAGCAGTTTAAATTATGTTCTTCCAAATGACTGCATGTATATCTCAAAGGGCATTAATTTCTTCCCCCAAAGTATATAAATGAATCTTTTTTTTTTTTTTTTTGATGTGAATTTTCATTCCTGTTGTTCAGGCTGGAGTGCAAGGGCGCAATTTCAACTCACCACAACCTCCGCCTCCTGGGTTCAACTGATTCTCCTGCCTCAGCCTCCCAAGTAGCTGGGATTATAGGTATGCGCCACCATGCCCAGCTAATTTTGTATTTTTAGTAGAGATGGGTATTTCTCCATGCTGGTCAGGCTGGTCTCGAACTCCCAACCTCAGGTTATCTGCCCGCCTTGGTCTCCCAAAGTGCTGAGATTACAGGTGTGAGCCACCACACCCGGCATAAATAAATCTTAACCTGAGCATATACTTTTGATTAAAAATAGAATAAGGCCAGGCACGGTAGATTATGTCAATAATCCCGGCACGTTGGGAGGATGAGGCAGGAGGATCACTCGAACCCAGGAGTTCAAGACCAGCCTAGGCAACATAGTGAGATCCTGTATCTACAGAAAGCAAAAAAATTAGCTAGGCGTGGTCGTGCACAACTACTTGGCGAGGTCCCAGCTACTTCAGCAGCTGAGGTAGGGGGAAAACTTAAGCCCTGGAGATCGAGGATGCATTGAGGTATGATCATGCCACTGCACTCCAGCCTGGGTGACAGAATGAGACACTAACTCAAAATATATATATATGTGTGTGTGTGTGTGTGTGTGTGTATATGTGTGTGTGTGTGTGTGTGTGTGTATATGTGTGTGTGTGTGTGTGTGTATGTATGTATATATAAAATTAAACAACCAACCCGCACTTAGGGGAAAGTGGTGTAGATGAGGAGAGGGAGATGCTGGCACTGAGGAGGGAGGAAAAAGGAGCAAAGATTAGTCTAAGCCAGGTTAAGGGAAGTAGAGGAAGGCCCAGTTCCCAAAAAAAGAACACAAACCAAGAGGAGGAGCAGGATTTCAAGGCAAAGATTATGAGGAGGGCAGTGATATGAAATAGGACAGGAAAGGTCAGCCAGAAACTGATAGTGAAGGGCCCTACATGCCAACCTATGGAGCTTTCCTTTCATCCTAAATGCAGTGGGTAGGAGACTGATTTGATCATGCTGCATTTTAGAAAGATTACCAAGACTGCCACATGAAAGTGGATTGGAGATAGTCAGGCTACAATTATAATCCCTAAGGTTATGCAAGAAAATGTACAGAAAGCCAGGTATAGATTGTGGGCAGATAGAGAAATTCTTAGTTATCTGTCTCTATCCGGGAGGCAGATATGCAAATGTGAACCTGCTGTAAGAAGAACCAGGTGCACAATTATTATAATTAAAATAGCTGTCTGTATTTTGTGATGAATACTTTGCAGAAAACTTGATTCCTAGTGACCTGACATCACTTTTTCTAACAAATACGAAGTTCATATTGTATATGAATTTTTCCTCATTGCTACACGCTACTTCCCAATCCCAGTGGGGACTGTGAATGCTTTTTAGTCATGTAGTTGTATTGTTAAACTGATTTCACATTTAAAATAGTAATTTGCAAAATTGCAGTGCAGCTGGAACAAAACACAATGTGAGCACAATAATATTTTTTCATCCCGCAATACAAATGTAGGGATTTAACTGAGTTTCCACAATTTCCCAGACATTGTACACATATAACTTTATTTAATCTTCTTGAAAATGTGGGTATATTGTCTAGTTCATGAATAAAGAACCTCAGAGAGATATTTCATCTTGATCATGATTATATAACCAATTGAATAGTAGAAGCAGAATTTGAACTCAGCTCTTCCATGGCTGAAAGACATGTTCTTAACATACATAAAATTAGATCAGTATAAGTGTTTCAACTAATATCTATTAGCGTGAAATTCACATCAGCAGGCTCAAGGGAGCTGATAATGGGGTTTTCATGCTGACAGTTATATCTGGAGGACTAAATAAGAAGAGGAAAATGAAACCTGAATGATTATGGGAAACTCAAATAGTTGAGAAGTGGGAAGGAAAAGAAATAATAGACAGGGTTAGACTAGAAAAGTTAAGTTACAGTGCCCTGGTGGAGCAGTATTGGAGGTAAGAGCACCCTAAAGACTATGGCACAACTTCAAGAACTCAGCCCTCAATACTATAGTTCATCCCAACCCACATCACTCTTCTAAGTTCCAGACTATCACCCTCATTGGTTTGCAAGAAATTCCATGTGGTTGTCCCACAGGCACAATAAATTCAATGTATCTAACATGAACTTATACTACCCAATTCCTGTTATTTGGTTCCCAACTTTTGTTAATGGTACCATTATAGACTCGGGATTCTGATTCAAGTGTCCATTACTTACCAAGTCATATTTAACTCTCCTCTTAAATTTCTCCCTTCCTTATGAGTTATCTTCCCTTTTTTCGTTTTATTTCTTTATTCTTGTATCAAATAGCTACTAAGTGTCAGGTACTAATTCTGCTCAATTCTGGGAATATAAAGAGAAATAAGAGAATAACCTTGTTCTCAGAGAGTTCATATCTAGAAGGAGAGTGTGATAGGCTGAAGTCTAAGATGGCTCCCAAGATTCCCAATCCCGTGTGATTTCATTTCCTCTCCTTGAGTGTGAATGGGCCTGACTGAACCAGGTGAGCTCTGTTTTGAAAAGTAGATCTAGGAGCCAAAGAATGAGTAAGTCAGAGAGATCCAAAGCTGCAGCAGATTCTCTTCTGTTGTCCCTAAAGGAGCAAATTACCATGCTGTATAGAGGCCATATAGCAAGGACATGAAAGCATCCTCTGGGAGCTGAGCATAGCCTCTGGCCAACAACTAGTAAAAATTCAACAACAACAAAAAAAGGACCACAGTCATATGACTGCAAAGAAATGGTTTGTGCCAAGGGAACTTGAAAATGAACTTTCCCTAGTCAAGCCTCCAGATGAAGATATATCTGGCTACACCTTGATTTCATCCTAGAGAGATCCTGAGAGAGGACCCAGGTAAAATGTGCTGCAAGTCTAACCTACAGAAATTGTCAGGTAACGAGTGGGTGTTGTTTTAGACTGTTAAGTTTGTGGTAATTTGTTATGCAGTGACAGAAAACTCATATGGAAAGACAAAAGAATAAATCTTTATCTTGCTCAGTGCTAGGCTAGAGGCATGCATGATAGAGCGTAGGAGGCTATCAAAGCACAGACAGGGACATCCAACAAAGGCTAACAGACTTGGGGAAGGAATCCCGGCAGAGGTAGTAACTAAGATGAATTCTAAAACCAAAGAGGGAGAAGAGAGAAGGAGAGGGAAGGAGAAAAACCAAAGAAAAGAGGAAGTTGGGGAAAATGTGTGTGATCAAACGGGGACATGAAACTTCGTAGGCAGAAGGAGTTAAATATCTACAAGTCCCAAAGTCATAGAGTTCATAGTGACCTTTAGAAACTAAAAAGATGTCAATATGTCTAAATTCGGGGGCGAATGGTAAAAAGTGAGGATGGAGATTTAAAAAGAAAAAAAGAACGTTTACCATTTACTGATTGACTATGTGGAAGCCCACAGTGTCAGCTCATCCTGCCTCACCACAACCCCAAGTCAGAGACGGATGGCACAGGTCATTTGCTCGTTTGCCTCAAATCTAGTCTAGCCTAGTCTAGGTGCGCTTCCTCTACTCTGCCTTCAGTCACGGAGTGGATTCTCCCAAACCACTTTTTCAGGGCTTCTTTGCTGGGAAACTGGCTTCTGGGTGGGTTTGGCCAATGGCAGGCACTGGGAGGAGATAGAAGGGCAGGAAGAGAGGCAACTCCTGGGTATTTCTCTTCTTTCTCTGCTCTGGGCAATGGCTCTGGCCCAGTGGCAGCACCTCCTCTGTAGCCCCAGCTTCTACAGATCCCAATGAACAGCTCTGCCTCCTGAGCTCTTGTAACGCTAAGTTCTCCCTTAGTCCCCACCTTAGGGTGGCAGTTGCTTAATCCCTGAGTAGTCTCACCTTCCCCTTTTGGGTCTTTCAGTATTAAATTCTCTCCACTGAACTACCTGGCATGAGTGTTATTTTTGTAACTGGATTCTCACTGAATCACCATGTTTGACAAATGGAGAGCTACGAATCAGAAAGATTGAGCAACATGCCTAACGTCACACAGCTGGGATGTTGTGGGGCTGGGGTGTAGACGTTTGTTTGGCTGTGAAGCCTGTCTCTTTCCACCCAGCTGCATTGTCTCTCAGAAGCTTTCCATCACCATTCTGAGTCAGCTCCTTAGAACTTCACCATTACAGCAACCTCCACTCTCAGATTAATCTTCCTTAATTATACCTCTAGTCATGTGAGATATGTGGCAATTGCAAAGGGAATTCAGTATCAAATCCTCATTCTAGACTCCAGACTTTCCAGATTTTTTTTTTTTTTTTTTTTAGATGGTGTCTAGTTCTTATTGACCAGGCTGGAGTGCAGTGGTGTGATCTCGGCTCACTGTAACCTCCACCTCTTGGGTTCAAGCAATTCTCTGCCTCAGCCTCCTGAGTAGCTGGGATTACAGGCGCCCACCACCAAGTCCGGCTAATTTTTCTGTTTTTACTAGAGACAGGGTTTCACCATTTTGCATTTTGGCCAGACTGGTAACTGTTGACCTTGTGATCCACCTGCCTTGGCCTCCCAAAGTGCTGGGATTACAGGCGTGAGCCACTGTGCATGGCCCCAGAATATTTCTTAAACCAGTCTTTTTGGCTTCACTTTTGCTAGATATTTTGCTCTACTTGAAAGCTGCCCTTGATTTTTACTTGTATGTCTTTACTTATTCTATTTCTGTTCCCTTTAGCTAGACTGCTCTAGTTCCACCTTAAAAAACAAACAAAAAAATACATGACTGGATCTTGCTATGTTGCCCATGCTGGGTTCAAGCAATCCTCCTGCCTCGGCCTCCCAAAAGTGCTGAGATTACACACATGAGCCACCATGCCTGGCCTCCACCTTTTGATACAATATCTGTCCTTTGAAGCTTATTTCTTTATTCATGTATTCATTCATTCAACAAGCCTGGGACAGAGTACATTCTAGGCCCTTAGGAGAGAAAATAGAACAAGATGACTCTATGGCCGGGCATGGTGGCTCAAGCCTGTAATCCCAGCACTTTGGGAGGCCGAGACGGGCGGATCACGAGGTCAGGAGATCGAGACCATCCTGGCTAACACGGTGAAACCTCGTCTCTACTAAAAATATACAAAAAAAAAAAACTAGCCGGGCGAGGTGGCGGGCGCCCGTAGTCCCAGCTACTCGGGAGGCTGAGGCAAGAGAATGGCGTAAACCCGGGAGGCAGAGCTTGCAGTGAGCTGAGATTTTGCCACTGCACTCCAGCCTGGGCAACAGAGCGAGACTCCGTCTCAAAAAAAAAAAAAAAAAAAAAAGAACAAGATGACTCCTATCTTCTAGAATGGGGGTGGGCATACTTTTTCTGTAAAGGGCCAGATAGTAAACATTTTAAGTTTTGTGGGCCACATGGTCTCTGTCACTACTCAACTCTGCTATTATAGCACAAAGGCAGCCATAGGCAGTACATAGAGAATGAATAGACTATTCCAATAAAACTTTATTTACAAAAGTGGGTGTTAGGTTGTAGTTTGCCGTGGTTTGTTGAGCCCCTCCTCTAAAAACTCACAGCTAAACAGATGGAAAAGCCAGGAGAAAATGATAATGCATAAAACATATCAAAGAAATATGGAAGATTGTACAGTAGGCACATGTGACAACAATAACATAAACATACCCTGAGAATGAACCTGTATGGCAGATACACCTGACAGCAATAACGTAAGCATACCCAGAGAATGATCCTGTACGGCAGACTCACCTGACAGCAATAACGTAAGCATACCCTGAGAATGACCCTGTGGTCTAAGAAGAATGTGTGTTTGGAGTTCCAAACTAAGGAATCCAGGAGTGGCCAGCCCAGAGATTCATTCCTTATCTATGAGGACCATAGCCTGCAGCCTATTCCATGGAATGCAGGCTGTACAGGGGATGGAGGCTCTCTTTTGTTTTGGGTTAAATGAAGATTGCCAGGTGGAGGTTGCTAGGGAAGTGTGTTAAGTGAAAATGCCATATAAATTGCATGCTTTTTACAATTGGTTGTGGTTCTCCTGTCCAGCCCACCAACACTAGACCACCCTGTATTTCAGTCCCCTCTATAAACCCTGTCTTGTTTGCAGGCTCCAAATCTCTTCTTCAGCCTCTCAAACATGGTGCCATCCCTAATGAAGTCAACAGGGGTCCAGCATGACAGGATAGAAGTACAAGTGTCAGCATCTATGTGGGTCCCAAGAGGGGAAATTAGAAACAAAAAGGAAGAAGAGAACATAGGCCAGGCACGGTGGTTCATGCCTGTAATCCCAACACTTTGGGAGGCCAAGGTAGGCGGATCGCCTGAGGTCAGGAGTTCAAGACCAGCGTGGTCAACATGGCGAGAGCCTGTCTCTACTAAAAAATACAAAAAATTAGCCAGGCATGGTGGTGGGAGCCTGTAATCCCAGCTACTTGGGAGGCTGAGGCAGGAGAATTGCTTCAATCTGGGAGGCAGAGGTTGCAGTGAGCTAAGATTATGCCATTGCACTCCAGCCTGGGAGACAGAGTGAGACTCTGTCTCAGAAAGAAAAAAGAAAGAAAGAAAGAAAGAAAAAAGATGACATAGTCAAAGAAACTATAAGAAATTATAAGAAAATTTCTTATAATGAAAGATGAATGATTTCAGATTGAAAATGTTTATAAAGGTGCCAAAGAGAAAAGGAAAGGCCCAAACTAGATACATTATAATGAAATGTCCAAGTAACAAACATAAAGAAGAAATTCTGAAATCTTCTAGAAAGAAAGAACATGTTAGGCCGGGCGCGGTGGCTCAAGCCTGTAATCCCAGCACTTTGGGAGGCCGAGGCGGGTGGATCAGGAGGTCAGGAGATCGAGACCATCCTGGCTAACATGGTGAAACCCTGTCTCTACTAAAAATACAAAAAGCTGGGCGTGGTGGCGGG